AAAAAAAGGTTACAGTACTTCACCAGTGTGGTATATTTATATTTTTAAAAGTCTGACAAAAAAATAATTGTGGTTTGCAAAATTTGCAAAGAATCGATAAAGACCAAGTTTGGTAATGCAACCAACTTGATTTAACATGAATTAATGACACAAAATGTCCAGGGCTGTACTTAAAATATAATTTCTACATTTTTTTCATTCAAATTAAAAAATAAAGCATATAAACAATAAGATATACATAACAAAAATATATATAATTGAATAAAAAGGAGCAGAATGAAGAAAAACATTTTATAATTTCTGCCCCCTTTTCCAGAAGAAATAATCTATTTATATACAATTTCCATTTGTCAGACACACATACAGATTCATTTAGAACTTTTTCCTGTTCTTAATTCCAGTGCGATCAAGATCATTGATTTAATTTACATTTTCATAATTATTTAGTTAACTCAATTTGGTACATTTTTTGAATATATTAAATGACAAGAGTTTTTTTAAATTTCCCTTTTAAGGTTATTCCATAATTTAACACCATTTACAGATATATTCCATTCCTTAATTTTAGTTCTAAATCTAGGTTTTGTAAACACATCAGTTTCTTTCAGCATGTAATTACTAGTTCTCTTTTCAGATATCCCCTGGCAGAGTACCTAAATTGGCTTTATACATAGTTTGTAAGATTTTCCAGTCTTTTAAATCATGAAATTTCAGTAATTTATATTTAATAAACAACGTGTTTGATGTATCTCTACAGCCACTATAACTGATGATTCTCAAAGCTCTTTTCTGTAAAATAGATAAGGGTTGTGTATAGCTTTTGTATGTTGCTCCCCAAATTTCTGCACAATATGTCAAGTATGGAACAATCAGTGAATTGTACAATGCCAACAAACCAGAATTAGTCACTAAAAACTTGACTCTATGTAATACTCCTATAGATTTGGCAATTTTACCTTTTATGTAACTAATATGTGATTTCCATGTCAAGTCTTCATCAATAAGAACTCCAAGAAATTTAGTTTCTTTTACTCTTTGAATTTCAGTCCCATCTATTTCCAATGACACATCTTTTCCTGGATGTTCTTTTTATCATTAAACAGTATAAAATTTGTTTTGTTAAGATTCAGTGTCAATCTATTTATATCAAACCAGTTTTTAATTTTAATCAGTTCATCATTTATCACTTTAGCCACCTCCTCAATATTTGATCCTGAGTAAAACAGTGTTGTATCATCTGCAAACAGAATGGTACCGAGTGTCTTAGATACATTTACCAAGTCGTTAATAAACAAAACGTTTAACATACAATCATTTCTAGTTACCTTGTCTATATATCTACGTAAAACGATTATTGCTTCATAATGTCCCACTTACACCTGTACATAAAAATATGTGTGCGCTTCTCTTCCCATTGACCCACATAGCAATACCCTGACAGTCAACATTCTCACTTACACGCACCTACAAAACATACTCAAAATTGTAAACAAGATTATAAATATAAACACATATACCTTTGAGCATATTCATTGTTTTGGCACCACTACATCACAAATTTGATATCACCTAACTCACTCTTCTTCCCTGTACCTTGTGAAAACATTGATGATTTATCTCTACAAAGAACTCAAGCCTGAATGAGTTGCTAATGCTCATGGTTAGCTTCAATTAGCCAAAACGTTCTTGGCTGTTTCCTGGATGCTAAACCAACAAAAGCCTTTTCGGTCGCGAGTCAAGATGAGTGAGTCCACGAACGTTAAGTGTCAGTATGACGTAGATCTGTCAGGCTTTTCAATTCCTAGAGTTTTACTGTCTATTTCCTATCAGAAGCTAATGCAGGAGATAGATGTAGAGTACTATTTTCATGTTCAGCCTGTATGAAACACTCAGAGAAAAATGTTTTACGTATTAAAGGATAAGTTGGATTCTCCTTTCTTCTTTTTTATGTAATGCATTGCTGAGATAACGGATTGGGACTCGGTATTGGAAGATACTCAAATATCAAAGGACTCGGACTTGGATCTGGAGCAAAACAAATGTGATCAAAAAATCCCTAATTTTCTGTTTTAAACATCTATTTCCTTCAGATGAAAGTCTAAATAGAAGACCAGAAGATCTTACTTCTTGTCTTCACAAACCTTTTAAGGGGAGGTGGTAAATGTGTGACTGAATTTGACAACTTTCACAATCTGAGATTATGCCAAGTCTATGTAACGTCCAGTAATGGTCAGTTTCACCTACAGATTGACCTACAAGCCACCGGTCATCTACAGACATGAATCTGCCTCTGTGTGTCTCTTAATCTTCCAAGCTGCAGGAAAAGATTCGACACTGCATGTTTACACTCAGATTGTCAACATCATGTTCCCTTCTCAAGGTTCTTCTCTGTCAAGCCTGTCTGCTTATCTAGGCTGTCCTGCACAGAATAAAGGACTGAACCGTTATAATAGTAAATCAAATGGTTGAATGAACAATAATGGTTGATGAATAATAATAATGTTTTGATTAATCTGTGCTTAAATTAATAAGGTTGATTAATCTGTGCTTGAATTACTGAAGTTGAAATGAATATTATTATTACATTGAAAGACTTATATATGATGATCAGTAATGTTCGATATGACAAGGTAATGATGATCTACACTCACACACACGTGCATATCTTCCTGACACAAGGTTAAGTTAAACGTCATGACACATATGACTTTCTTATCCACAAATCAGAGCTCTTTTTATCTGAAGGAGGAGTGCTCTGAGGTTTGTTTGGTAAAAGCTTTAATAAAACTAAGGCCACTTCCTGAGTGATTCAGTTCTAGAGAAAGCTACGGACCGGCCATCCAGAGCAAAACCTCTTTAACCCAGAGCATCTTTTGACTAGCTGTCAAAAGCCTGCTACACGCTGAAGCTGACACAACAAACGGTTCTTGCAGAACAAAGCTGATACAGTTCAGCCTGCTTAAGAGTCCTTCTAGACACAAACTAGTTCCAACCTGTTGTGCCTGGAAACATCTCTGGACTGGAGAGTCGGTGCTGCAGTTAATCTACTGAACCTCGGTGCCCAGAGGTCATCCGACCTTCCAGACCTCCGGATCCGCGAGGAGGGTCTCCAAAAAGGGCGAGATAGACACAGCATGAATTATATCTGATGTGGTTTTGATAAGAACCAACTTCATAGTTTAATGCAAACCAAATTCTTTTTCACACCCAGAACTCCATTCTTCTAGATACAAGATTCTGATAAACACACACCATTCAATCACCATACATCACATCCCATCCACTTAGATTCATCCATCACAGCAGTCTTAGTTAACTTGTCATATTTTTAATTGTTTAGAAAATAAATTCTTAACTTTTATAAACCTGACTCTGTCTGAATTGATACGAAGTGTGTTTGATCCCTGAAAAAGCAAAGAATCCTAGAATCTTCTGATTAAACATCCAAAGACCAATCAGGTTGATATTCTATATTTATATAGAATATCACATCTTATTGGTCATAAGTAAAGGTAATATATTAAGCTTAAAAGCAACTGTATTTAACCCTACATCTATTTGCCGTGACCCACCATTAGACTAGCTGGTAAAAACAAATGTAACTTAAATCCACACCTAAAATATAACATGCATGCTGGAGGTAGAGGTTAGCTGCTAGTTAAGGAAAGGTAATAATTCCCCAGAATATGTTCACTGAACTGAGCCTTAAGCACACTAGAAACTGTAACAAAAAAAAAAAAAAAAGATCCATGAAAGCTCAAGCACACATTTACACTCCATGCACGTTTAAAAACGATGTTGGTTTCTTCTCGCCCTCTCATAGTGGGAATGATGTCTCCTCTTAATCCTTTCTGACTTCATACATTCAAAGGTCATCTCTCAGCCCATGTGCAGGCTGCACCATGCATGTGTCGCTGTGCTTGGTGTGAATACGAACAGAAAGCCTATTCACGTCTGCTGTATATGTCAACAAACCCTGTATCCCTGCTTACTGTGAACATCATATCCCCTCTCTATACAATCCCCTGGCCATCTACCATTTTCTCCTCCTGCTGTTCTCCTGTCCTCTAACTCTTCACTATCTTCCACATATTCTCCTTCATTGCACACTTCATTCTATCTCTCCTCCCTCTCTCAAATGCTACAGAGTCAGGGGCATCTCTTGGCAAAATGTGGCCCACCACAGGCCACTGGCTCTGGGTAATTAAAGTGGTTCAGACCCCTTCACCCATGGTCACAGGCAACTGCAGCTGGGCGATAAAGGCACTGTGCCATAATTACATGGACAGCCAGCATCACCGCTCAGCTACACTAAAACAGTCAGCTAGCCTCCTGCATGTGGAGGGAGGGTACACATGTGTCAAATTTGTGCATAAGTAACTGTACTGTGTTTGTGAGTGCACGGTGGGTCACCACCCCCTTGTGACTGCTCTGCTGTAGTTAAGCCCCCTGTGTTTAAGCCCCTGCACACACTTTTAACCTTCCCTCAAACCAATCATTCCCCACCAGTGGTCTGACTCCGGCCGTGAGACGCATGTGACCATCAGCCATTTAATTAGACCCAGCCATGATTTACTTAATTTAAATAAATACATGAGCATATGAAAACACCTACAAATACAAATGAAGGGCTGGTGAGCTTCATGAATATCACAAACGAGCCCACAGATGAGGAACGTTGGACGTGGACGCACCGTCGAACTGATGAAATGCTTCAAGAAAGCGTGATGCAAGGGATGATCAGAGAAAGAGAAGAGATCTGAGGAATTTTGGGATTAAAAAGATTCATGCAAAATGTGTCCAGGAACAACAAACAAACAAACAGACAAACAAACAAGTCTGTGAGATTCACATGTAGGCGTGTTCAAACTGAACCACGGATGAGACCAAAAACAAATGTTTAAAATTTCAAACCTAGATTGTTTTACTGCCAGTTTAACTAAATATGTATTCTGTATGTAGAGACTAGCCTAGCTTGCTCTCAGATGAAGCCTGTTTACCTTTGGAGAAGAGGAGGCCAGCTCTCTTCCCATCACTGCTGCCACTGGGCTGGGCCCAATGGGCTGGGCTCGTTCTCTGTCTGGGCCAGAGCTAAGCTTGGGGGTTGGTGGACTGGGACAGGGATCAGTTCTGATGCTCGGGGGTGCAGGGGCCCTCCTCTTCTGGCTACTGCCCACATCAGGAGAGGGACTACCAGCATGCGGCCGTGCTGGGCTTGATGTCTTCGGCTCATAAAATGGATTGGATCTGAAAAAGAACATGAAGAGTGAGAAAAAACAAGCAAAAATGCATGAAAGTTAATAACTCTCATACATAGTAGTAACAGGGCTGCTTAGCTGATTAGCTTTCGAGCACTAACGTGCATGGTTCTAGCTATTGGCAGCCTCCCACTAGGCTGCGACTGGTGGATAAATTAAGAACTACATTTGTAGATGATGCTCCAAAAACATCTTGAGGGTTATCAATTTCCTTGTTAGGATTGCAGAACCGCTCCATTATGTTGCATTTTTAACTAATCTTTGGAAGATGGAATTGTGGCAGAGTCATCACGCGTCTCTTAAACGTTTTGCAATAGTTTGATTGAAACTGAAAAGTTGCAAACTCTCTCATAATGTTGTGTCTCCAAGGATAAATGTACAAACTGAAAGTAAAATACATTAATTTGAAGACATCTTTGACTTGCTGATGATTATTTAAACAGAAGGGAACTGCCACACAGAAACAAGGGTTTGGAGCGGCACAATGAGGATCATACACAAGTGGTAAGTTAATAGAAGATGCAGGTGCACGGAGGTCAGGGCGGTGTGACCTCATATCCTTACTACCCAAGGTGGACCACTGACAGACAGGCAAGAGCAGGATGAGATACACACACACAAAACACACACACACCAAAATGCTTGTGGCAATGAAAGCAAGGGCACGGCCTTCAGACATTCACTCAACATGCAGCGTGCAACCCTAAACAACAAGGACTGATTGACCAGGCATTTAGATTGACTCAGTGTCACTCTGAAAGAGAGCAATAGAAAGGAAAACCATGCAGGCCTGTAGAGAAGATTTAACCAACCAATACAGGCTAAAGGACACGCCAAAAGGTTCCAGTCAAAACAACGTGCTGCCCTCTTGAACTTTCGTTTTTTTTTTTTTTTTTTTACAGAGAACAGCTCCTTATGTAGGAGACAGAGGAAAAGGGGGGGGGGGGGTATGCTAGTCAATAACCTGTCTCCATTTTGACAGCTGAGACGGGTAAAACATCCAGCCATCAGTGTGACAGCTTCGCTCAACAACAGCCAAAACCCAGAGGTTTACAATTTAGGCACGGGCACTCTTCTGGAAAGGTCACACGGTATCAGTAAAACATCTCCCTCAGCGGTGCTACAGCAAGATCCTGGCAGAAGCAAATTTACTGCAAGTCTGGAAATGCTGTCATGAAAAAAACCTGCTGAGGAGCTATCAGATGTCCTCATACTTTTACTAAGCCAGTAAAAATTACACTTGGAATAAGTCGAATCTAAACATTCCCAAAAAGGTGTGGTCTGAATAAACACACGAGAAATAAACCTTAAAATAGCTGGTTTAGATAATGATGACCAAAGTACTAAAGCCTGAGTGGTGTGGGGAAAATGTGAGTTTACACCAAATTATATTGACACTGCATTATTAAAACATCTCCTAGTACCAGGTTTTCCTGATGTGTAGTACAGTTGGGGACAGGAGCCCACTGTGGGCCCTGAAACAAGTTGTTAAATGTAACAATAACTTATTAAAAAAAGTAGCAATAAAGAATAAAACAAGTTTTACGATTGTTAAGGTTTGCTGCATTGTCATGGTTTATTAATTGCCATTAATAATTAATGAATTAATCATCTTATTATCTATGTCTGTGTACTTCAACCAGCAAAAGCCAGGGTTACATGGTATTCTGTGGGTCGAACGCAGAAAAGTTTAGGAACCTCTGGAAAATTAAAGATGGAAGGGAGGCAAACGTCCTAGGAGGAAGTTATGGAAAAACAACAGAGAGGGAAAGTTTAGGGTCGCATGTTGATAGGTGGGAGGGTTGGGGGGTAAAGGAGGAGGGAGACAAGGGTGAAGAATGCAGTGAAACAACGAAGGCCTTGTTCCCGTTGAAAGAGCTGCCTCGTCACTTTGCCCTGTTTCGGGGGGGGGGGGGGGGTAATTTGTGGGTGGGTGGTACTTTAGATACAAGTTAGCCTCTAGAAGGAGGAGTCTGAGCTAGACAACCCCTGGGCTTAACACACCAACAGCTCTCTATAGCAAGAAAACAACAACAAGCTGCCTAGTAAACCACATCCATTTATAACAGGACAAAATGTGTCAACAGCCTTCCTCTAATGAGTTACTATGATCCATACTTCCCTTAATAAACACACTTTTGCATCTATTATAGAGTGTAGGAGGGAATTAAGTAAGCCTTACTCTTCAAGCTCCTCCTCCTCGTTCTGAGAGGTGTCTGCATACAGGTACTTGGTCATGTCAACGGGCCGCACTCCCTTTGTCTGCTTGGCTTTGGGGTTTTCTGTGTCAGGCTGTTGGCCCGTGTCTTGGTTGGGCTCATCGAAGGGGTTCCCAGGGGGTGAACGCCCATCAGGTTCATCCGGCTCCTCAAACGGATTTGAGGAGTCGTGGTCGTAGAAGGAATCCTCGTCAACCCGCTGGCTTACGGATGGCGGGCCTGGAGTCTCTGTTTGATAGATGCGAGAGTGCTGGCTGAGTAAACAACACACCCTTCACCAGACTTGACAAGAGTTTTGTTAGCATGCCACATCTTTAAGTAGAGAGCTAGACAGCAGAAAAACAAATCTGACTGCAGTCTATCACAGGAACTAGCTAAGCATTACATACTAACTTTCCTTCTTGATCCCTGATGTTATCCACATTTTCTGTCTGCTTTTTAGCTTTCTCCATATTTACAGATAAACAAAATCCAACCTACTCTTCATAAGCAGTATTAGCTTTTTGTTGACTTAAATTATCCTGAAAGGGAAAAAACAGCATTTTTATAGGACATGTTTTGTGAAATTCAACTGTAGTTTGTGCAAAAAGAAATATTAACATTTCTGCTTAAAAAAATAACTTAACAGTTGTACTTTAAAAAGAAAAAAAAAAAGTAAACAATTCTAAAGTTTCAAACATGGTTTAGGAAGCCGAGAATGCAACAAAAGATGAAAGTCAAACAATAAACCAGATCACAGACAACATAAACAAGCAATAAGTAGGTGTGAGGGAGCTCATCATTTAAAAACAAATAGATCCCAACACACCTGGCTGCTCAAGTGCTAAACCCATAATAATGTTTAAGCTGTTGAGTCAAAGCACTTCCTAGTGCTTCAAATACAAGACGCAAATTTCTAAACTCCCACCACGCATGGCTTACTACCCAAACCACTCCTCTATCAAAACTCTAAGCCATCATAGTAAAAGCAAACAGATTGTTTTTCTTATCAGATGCTGACAGAACTGCCTACCTTCATCAGGATCCCCAAACGGGTTTAGAGGGTAGGACTGAAGGTCACCATCGGGCTCATCGAAGGGATTCATACTCATGGCTGGAGCCGTTTCCTGATCTTCATCCTCCAGGAAGTTCAGCTTGTTAATCAGTTCTGTCACCAGAGTCCAAGGAAAATTGATTTAATTGACCTAAAAATCTAGAAAACAAACTTTCAAAATACAATAAAATCCAAATAACCCAAATCTACACTTGGAGTGAACCATGAGCAGAAAAAAGATTCAGTCTGCTTCCTTAGTGCCTAAACTTCTGTTTTCCTCAGCCACCTTGCTTGCTAGTGCACAGCAAGCTGCATTCTGGGAAAATTTGGGTGGTATGTGAGACTGAAGAAAGCGTGGAGTTGCTATGGAGATCTGGCTGGAGATCCTAAAGACTTGTCCACTTTGTCTTCATCATACTCACTGTAGCTCAGCACCAGGCCGCCAGAGTTTGGGTCAGTTTGAATAGATTATAAATGTAACTCAAGTTGGTGCCAAGAAATGCAGCTGAGAGCTTTGTGAGGATCTGAATGAGGAGGAATGTGCAGTGAGTCTATATGTCTTGGTCTATATGTAGTATGGCTAAGTGGTGGCTGTTGATAAGAAGGGCAGCACTTTTCCTCTTTGCTTTGTGACTTCATGCATGGCCTATTTAAGGCCAAGACAAGAGCATGTAAAAGAAAACTCAGATTTCAGTTTGAAGTGGTGTTTATCATCCAAAAGAAACTCAAATGTGTCTGAAATTGAATTGGGACTGAACAAAAAACTCCAATTAACCCTCCGGTTGTACTGGAGAAGCTTTGTGAAACACCCCAAATGCATCTGACAGCAAATTCCCACAGTTCTGTTTTCTAAAACACGACTTCCTTCTTCTCATTAATACTCATGAAGAAGAAAGGTCAACTGGGTTTGATGTACCAACACTGGTTCACTTCCAACTGCAGAAAAATCACATGGTTGAAAAAACACAAAGTTTAATGACCACAACACAACAACAATACAATGTCAAGGAAGATCAAGGGGGGTGTCGGGTATTTAGCAGAGCAAACATAAATAAAAGAACCAAAAAGGCCACAATCCTGACAAACATACCACTGAAATGTAAATAAATGAACCATATAAGAGTAGAGAAAGGTAGGGTGGAGGTCACTGTGTTCACAGGTTAATGAAAGAAGAGCAGAGGAACAAGGGATGATGGGAGGGCTGAAAGAAAGGTGAAAAAAGACCTTGGGAGGAAGCAGCAGGCCTAGCTGTTGCTTTGCGTGCCTGCTTGGTGACACCACCACCACCATCATCATCATCATCCCCATGTAAGCAGCTGAGGGCATTCAACTGGTTTACTATCTCTGTAAATAACAGATCCAATAAAGAAAGGGAGGGAGGAAGAATAGAAGTGAACAAGGAAAAATAGCACACCCTGTTCATAAACATGTATACATATGTATACATACATAAAAGTTGCTCGGTCAAGCCTGGAAACCTTAAATAATAAGAAACAATCAAAGAGGATGATGCACAAAGATGTCATGAATCATTATACACTGCCCCGCCAAAAAAAAAGGCGTATAGGTACGGGCCTCCTATTGGATAATTATTGCAGGGGTCAATATGTTTATGTTTATGTTTGTGTATTTAGCAGACGCTTTTGTCCAAAGCGACTTGCAAGTGATAATCGGCATATTGCCCTTGAGGCTAACAACAACGATAACAACAACAATAACTTAGAGCTGGCAACAAGTGATTTAACCCCAACTGGTGCAATGACTTGCTTCTCATTTTTTAAACAACCTTGTGGAAAGACACATCTGGTGGATGTGGAAAATATGTTATTATCTGCATGCACCAAGCAGAGAAAACATCCAAGGAGATAGCAGAAACGACTAAGTTGGAATAAGAACTGTTCAACGCATTATTAATAGCAGGAAGGATAGAGGGGCTTCACCTTCAAAGCAGAAATGTGTCCGGAAAAAAATCCTCAGTGATTGTGATCGGGGAAATCATTTGGTGACATCAAATAAAAGAAAAGCAACAGTACAACACAGGGCTATGTTTAATAGTGTAAGTAACAGCATTTCCACATGTACAATGCAAAGAGAACTCATGGGATTGGGACTGAACAGCTGTGTAGCCATTAGAAAAACACTAATCAGTGAGGCAAACCAGAAAAAATGCAGGCTTCAATTTGCTGGGGAGCATGAAGATTAGACTCTGGAGCAATGGGAGAAGGTCATGTGGGTTGGTGAGTCCAGATGGACCCTGTTCCAGAGTGATCAGGGTAAGAAGAGAGACAGATGAAGTGATGCATCCATCATGCCTAGTGTCTACTATACAAGCCTGTGGGGGCAGTGCTATGATCTGGGGTTGCTGCAGTTGGTCAGGTCTAGGTTCAGCAGCAGGATGTGCTCCAAGAATGAGATCAGCTGACTACCTGAATGACCAGGTTATTCCATGTTCCCTGATGGCACGAGCATATTCCAAGTTGACAATGCCAGGAGTTATCTGGCTCAAATTGTGAAAAAGCAACCACAAAGTCCAGACCTTAACCCCAATGAGAATCTTTTGGATGTGCTGGATGTCCCTGTACACCTCAGACTTCCAGTACAAATCAGAGACCTGTCATCTACAGAAATACTCAGATGATTCTGCAGTTGTCGGGTGTATCAGAGATGGACAGGAAGCTGAGTACAGAGAGCTGGTGGAGAGCTTTGTGGCATGGTGTGGAAACAATCATCTGACCTTGAATGTGAACAAAACAAAGGAGATGATTTTAGACTTCAGAAGAAACAGGGTGGAGTCAAACACTGTTTCCATCATGGGAGAAGAAGTGGAGGTGGTTGAGGAATACGAATACCTTGGAGTTCACCTGGACAACAGACTGGACTGGAGAAAGAACAGCGAAACCGTTTACAAGAAAGGGCACCGCAGACTGCACTTCTTGAGGATGCTTAGGTCCTTCAATGTCTGTAGCAAGATGCTGCAGATCTTCTACAAGTCTGTTGTTGAGAGTGTAATCTCTTCAGCCATCGTCTGTTGGGGTAGTAGCATCAGAAGCAGGGACCTGAAAAGGCTCAACAGCCTAATAAAAAAGGCTGGTTCTGTTCTGGGGATGCCTGTGGAACCACTGGAGGAGATAATGCAAAGAAGGATTCTCCAGAGAATCAAGAAAATGATGGACAACCCTGAGCATTCTCTTCACAAGACTGTCCGATAACGGAAGAGTGTCTTCAGTCAGAGGCTTCTTCAGTTTCGCTGCAACACTGACCGCTACTGGAGATCCTTCCTGCCAACAGCCATTGTAATATACAACAACTCTTTGACAACGTGATTATTATTATTATTCAGAGCTACTACAGCAATCAATTTCCCTCTGGGATTAATAAAGTATTTTTGAATTGAATTGAATTGAGTTGAATTTGAGAAGGCTTTGTTCAGCGGTGAGACTCTACCATCATCAATGCAAGATCTTGCTGAAAAATTAAAGCAACACTGGATGGAAATCAATCTTGTGATATTGCAGAAGACAATGCCACAGCGAATGTGTGGCGAAATCAAAGCTAAAAGTGGTCCAACTAAATATTAGTGTGTGACCTTTATTTGGCCAGGCAGTGTAAAACATACTAAAGTTAGTGATGAATGATAAGGAGGAATATGAAAATCTGTAGGGTGTGTTCATGTTTTGAAAGGGAATGTCTAAATGGAAAAGTAGAAACAATATGGTGCATTAAAGGGGTCATAGAATAACTTGTTTGTTACAATTTAAAACTGCTCTATGAGCCTTTACATAGCACGTGTGTGTTCAAAATCACCCAGGAGCCCTGATAAATAAATAAATAAATAAATAAATAAACAAACAAATAAATAAATAATGAATAACACTTTTATGGACAGAATTTCTAGACGCAGCCGTGGTGTGGAGTGTGTCGAGTTTGGTGGCAGGAGAATCTCGTCTCTGCTTTTTGCGGATGATGTGGTCCTCCTAGCTTCATCCAGCTCTGACCTTCAGCTCTTGCTGGGTAGGTTCGCGGCCGAATGTGAAGCGGCTGGGATGAGGATCAGCACCTCCAAATCTGAGACCATGGTTCTCGACCGGAAAAGGGTGGCTTGCCACCTCCGGGTCGGGGGAGAGGTCCTACCTCAAGTGGAGGAGTTTAAGTATCTCGGGGTCTTGTTCACGAGTGAGGGTAGGAGGGATCGGGAGATCGACAGGCGGATTGGTTCGGCGTCTGCAGTGATGCGGACGCTGAGCCGATCTGTCGTGGGGAAGAGGGAGCTGAGCCAGAAAGCCAGGCTCTCGATTTACCGGTCGATCTACGTCCCAATCCTCACCTATGGTCATGAGCTTTGGGTAATGACCGAAAGAACGAGATCGCGGATACAAGCGGCCGAAATGAGTTTCCTCCGTAGGGTGGCCGGGCTCAGCCTTAGAGATAGGGTGAGGAGCTCGGACATTCGGGAGGGACTCGGAGTAGAACCGCTGCTCCTCCGGATCGAAAGGAGCCAGTTGAGGTGGTTTGGGCATCTGGTCAGGATGCCTCCTGGACGCCTCCCTGGGGAGGTGTTTCGGGCATGTCCTGCCGGCAGAAGGCCCCCGGGTCGACCCAGGACACGTTGGAGAAGTTACATCTCCAATCTGGTCCGGGAACGCCTTGGGGTCCTGCCGGAGGAGCTGGTGGACAAGGCCGGGGAGAGGACGGCCTGGAGCTCCCTAGTTGGGATGCTGCCCCCGCGACCCGGACCCGGATAAGCGGAGGAAGACGAGACGAGACGATGAATAAAACAACTATGATGCCATAGAAAACTGGTTTACCCCGTCCATTCTGCCAAAACATGAATATTAATGTGCTGATGGGTGGGTTTGCCCCAATGGCTCTATGATGATGTATGTACCTAGATACTCTGTATACAGTATTCAGGCAACTCAATAGGCCAGCTATGGATTTATTTGGAATTCATTAAAAGTCTAGCTATTCCCAGTACATCATGGTTACATGTGTGGTCTGACATTCTTCTTTGTTTTCCTCTTGTCCAACAAGGACATTAGTCGTAGCTCAGGCTAGCATTAGCACTAGCTTGGGTTAGCTTTCTTCTACATTAGCATTACCGTCACCAACATTTATTTATAGCCAATGCTGAAGTGGGTTGGGACATGCTAATGTAAGGAGGTGTGTTTAAGCTTATGACGTGTTATACCAGCTTTTCTCAGAATGAACCGTTTCTCAGCGGCCAACACAAAATGACTAATTTACACATGCAATCTGGTCAGAGATGGAACAGGATTTGGTATGCTACATTAGACACCCCAAGCTGCCTATATTCAGCAACAACTATGTAAAAGTGGTTTTAAATTCTTGGACCACTTTAAATACGAAAACAAACAATTTTGGTCATTATAAATTTATGTGTTAAGTAACTTAATGTCTACAAAATAAAGGAACACATCAACCTCAGTAATCAACTAGGGAAACATTCAAGATCCCTTTTCAACATTTGAGTGTCCCCTACAGACACAATAAAGCTCAGTTGAAGAAACTAGTGAATAAAAGTTGAATTTCTATGTTAAAACTGAATTGTTATTTATCATAAACTTCTGAAGGCTGCTAAGTTACCTAAAATACAAAAATATAAAACTAACAAATATATGCACCACAGATTTATCTTTGAATTTCCTTTGCATTTCAAACATTTACATTCAGGATAAAAAAGACAAGAGAAAGCACATTAATCCAGACTATGCACCATAAGTTCAGCGTTAGTGATGCTCGAGCGGCTTGCTGCCTTGTTCTGTAGGTAGCATTCAAGGAGCAATAAGATTGTAGAGTTTTGGCAGCTTTGCCAAGCCTTTGATTTAGAGATGCGTGCTGGTGAAGCATTGCTGTAGGCACTCAATGCATATACATATAAATGAGATGAAGCGCGAGGACAGGGGAAAAGAAAGGAGAGAACGCATGAAGCTTAACGTGAAGAGGTGCCGCTCTGAAAAGTTGGATTAAGCAAAGCAGGAAGCAGCGAGACCCATATATTAGACCAGAGAATGAATCCTAAGCACGTACGTATGGAAGAAGGCAAGCGACTGTCAGTTTACAGGCCCAATCAAAAGAAAGACAAGAAAAAAACTGGAAAAAAGGCACAATTTCTTTTTGTATGCCTGGAAGGGCAGAGACAAATCCAACTATGTGTACAGCATGGAAAAAGAAGAAATAAGGTTGATGTCCCTCATGAAACTACTGTGACTGCTACTTAAGTTTCAGTTTAGAGAACTTAGTTGTTAATGTAATTAGCAGCTTGTAAATACATCACATGAGATCCAGAAGGTTGATGACAGCAGACCCCCTCTGAGATTATAAAGCCAAACCTTCATCCAGGGTATACCTGAGATCTTGGCAGCCTTTTCCTCCTGGTTAACCCGGTTCTCCTCGTCTTCATCGTTCTCCTCCTCAAAGTCGTCCAGGTTGCCGATGTCAGCCTGTTTCATGCTCATCAGGCTGGCCAGACTCTGCATGTCTTCATCTCTGCAACACAACATCTCATTATAAGCAAGCACATGAAAAGAGAGGAGAAACACAAGCAATGTGATATAGAAAATAGAGATTGTTTTCTTTTTGTACTGAAAAGAGGAGGAACAAGCACAAATAATCACAAAAGCTTTCATTGAGACAAATGAATAAAAATGAGTCTCTCCTTTTCCCTTTTCTTTCACTTCTCAACTTAAGACCTCCATTTCTACACTTTTGCAGTTATAAACTAGTTTCTTCATCACCCATTTCTTTCATTTTCCGTCATCAAAAAAATGCATTAAATTCTTAATTTCTTGTATTTTACAGTCATCCACACTTCCCCCCTTCATCCCTTGATGCCACCTCCCCATCATAATCATCACCCCCCCCCCCCCCCCCCCCCCTTGTGTTTGCTGTTTCCCAGACCCACTGGCTCATTTGAACTGGTGTGATGGAGTTTGTTTGTGTGTGGTCGACATCATTCCCCGAAGGGTTAACAAGGGTTACGCGCCATCGACCCGCCATCCACAACACAACAAAGGCCTTGCTGCTGCGCTGAAGCACAGAAGGGAGGAGGGCTAAATTTCAAGATATTTTAAAATTAAAGCTGCAGCTATCTTGTTTTGGTGAGTAGCAAACAGGCAAATACTATGCCTGAGTGTCATAAACAACCCATGTTTGACCAGTCCCCTCTGATGATACTTACGTGGCCTTTCCCTCACGGAGGAAGATGCAGGAGAGTGAGAACTGCAGTGTAGCCGATACCACCTTCTTTGACAGGGGCTTAAACTTGAGTTTGACATCTGTCTGAGTGGGCATTGGACTGGCGTATTGCTTCATGTTTATACTGCTGGTCGCTAAGGCCTTCCTCCGTCCTGACGGAGACTCCTGCAGACAGAGACGGTTCGACATTCAGCAACAGAGGAATAAAAGAAATATTCCACAAACTGGCCGATAAGAGTCATGGAATCAGTGGCGTTGGTGTGTTACGAATAAGAGCTGCTGACAAGCCTAGTCACTGACAGCTAGATATGGAAACTGAACAGCTGGGGATGTTGTAGCTTTTGTCTGCCCTCCCTCTCACAAAACTGATGGCTTTTGTCTGCAGCAGGTCCAACTGTGGAAGCATCATGCTGTCAGTGAATATCAAACTGGTTCACCACCTCACTGTGTTTATACTACAGACACATAACAACTGTTGATTTCTGGTTGGTTTTCATTTTTTAACACTTAATTTTTGCGATGAGAAATTGCTACATTTTCTTTTTAAATGTGAAACTGCTCTGATATCACACGTGTTGCAAATGAGAGCATACAAAGCTAGTATGTCACATGTTCCTGTCTGAAGCGGCTGTTCCTTATTTTTTTATTTTGTATTGCATAGATGTCTAAAAACAGAAAGACACACACACACTTCTGGTTTCACACCACTTTTCTCAGCTGTGGATCGAGCCCTGAGGATTCATCCTCTCATGTGTACAATACCGAACAAAGCAGAGCAGGGAGCTCTTTTCTTCACACTACACCAGTTTGAGAGCACATATACATAGACACACATACACTCGGCTATGCATGCTAGATAAATTGATACAAGCTATTTATACACCACCTGTTTCCTGATGTCTTCACACACAAAAAACATACATTCACCTTAGACGCTTTGGCTCTGCGGGGAAAAACTCAATCTCAGCCTTATCACTGAGGACTGCAATTCACACACACACACACGCACGCACGCACGCACGCACACACACACACACACACACACACACACACACACACACACACACAATTTATATCAGCTCAGAATGGTAAAGAATTTGGTAATAGGGGTATAGACTATTCCAGCTATGCACACTGACCTAAATTCTAACTACTTGCACCTATAAAAGTTTTTGTGGTGTGCTCCTTTGATGCCATCTATGTTCTTAATTGACTTTTGTCATAATTAATTTATAAACCAAAAACCAACCAAACTGCAATAACCAAACAAAACACTGAGCTAGACCCACTTTATTAACTTAATATTATATGATGGATCATTTGATTTGTTGGTTATGTTTAGTTGGGATGAGTTTAAAAGTTAGTCAGATCTAAATACTCTTTTAATGGTCTCATTCATTCATTTTTTGTTTCTTTGTTTGTTTGTTTTCAGTAAAATTCCTGTGGTCTCTACTGTAAATGAATGCCTTGTCTGCTCTCGTGTTTCTGATCTGGGGGTAAAAAGTTTGTCTGAAGAGTGGTGGGGGGGAGGGGAACGGAGGATTAAGACTCGAACTTGTTAATATTCATGATGTGCAACAATCTCTCCTCTGATTGGCTAACAACGTTATTCTTCCACTGCCTCTGTTTGTTCTTCTTTATTGGGCCAAAAATACAACATTGATGTGTTACCTCCACATAACACAAACTAATGGTTAGCTTCTACTAGCCGAGAATTGCTCCTCTCTCTCCTAGACACAAAACCCATACAGCCTTCCACGGCCGTGAGCCAAGGTGGGCGGGGCCACGAATAATATTTAAAGTGACGTAGAACAGATTGGCTTTTTCTGGCCTGCTCATGTTCACATCTATTTCCTTTCTGCGGCTAATGAAGATTGAAAACTATTTTAATGTCCAGCATGTACATCCAACTCAGAGTGACTAATTGTAATCATGGTTTCTAAGTGAATGACACCTTTACTGATTCTGTTCTGAGAGTTCTGTTCAAATTTAGCAAGTGTTTTATCAGTAATCTTGTGAAAATTTGTAGCATCTAGTACATGTTGATAGATGAATTAACTATCACACATATATCTAGGCTGATATCTGTACAACTGACTGGGTTTGAGCCATTTTTGTGTTGGTGAAGATTGATTAACTGTGATGAATGTGTTGAATGGGGCTGATTCCAAAAGTTAAACAGTTGAAGACATCCAGTGGTTTCTTTCTAAAAGTTTCATTACATTCCATCCAAATAAAAACTGAACATGGGACTTTGGAGCAGACGTCAGCCGACAATGCATTGTGGGAAGAAGGTAACTAATATGCAAAAAAATCAGCTCCAAAGACAAAGGAATATATTGCGACAAATTGCGTCCGAATGCTAAAAAATTATACTTACAGAAGATCGAGTGTCTTGGAAATGTGGACCTATATGAAGTACAGCAATGGAGAAGAGACCCAGAGGATTTACCCCTTTTGTCCGTTCCAGATATATTTTGATATCTTGTCGGTGGAATTAGTGCACACACCGTGCACCAGTTTAGGAATTACAAGTCTTTGGAGGTGCACATCCAGTTCAACAATGGTTGGGTGCATGATTTTGATATTTTGAAGCCTCCACATTGTGAATACGAGTAAAAATCCCTTAGGCTACTTTTCTCTGTAAACAATGAGACTTATTAGTCCAAGACTAAACTGATTAGCACTAGCTTGATTTGTTTCCGAGAGACAAGTTTACTGATGCAGCAGAGGCCAAAATTCTGACAACTTCGAGAATCCCACCAACTCTAAAAAGACTTGCTTTTTGCATACTTTGTAGCTGATTTGTGTTCTATGATAATAAAAACATAAATCTGATGTTAGTTTTATACACTTATTGATGAACTAAGGAGCAGAAACTCCTTAACTGTCACGTTGAGATGACTGTTTGGACCCAAAATGCAGATACCCAGGATGACACGAGGCAGGAGTTGATATAAAGAAAATCCTTTTATTGTAGGATGAGCCCAAAAATAAAAATAAATCCAAAAGGCAGGGAGCCGAAATCCAAAAATCAGGAAATGATCAGGAGATCCAAAAACACCAGAGGAACGGGCAGACTGACAGAATAAATCACGCCGACAAACAACAATGAACCGACAAGACAATGAGAAACAGACAGGGCTTTATAGACTGGGGCATAATGGGAGGCAGATGAGCTGCAGGTGTGTGGGGAGAGAACCAGGTGAAGGCAATAACTAATCAGGGAGGAGGAGCAGGAAGGAGCAGGAGAGGACACCGCACCTGACTGGAGAAGAACACACACACACACACACACACACACACACACACACACACACACACACACACACACACACACAAAGCTGGGGAATGACACACACACACCGAGCTGGGGACAAAGAGGCTGGAGCTACAACTGGAGGGGCTGGGGATGACCTGAAAGGCTACAAACAGAAGGCACATAAATAAGATGCAGACAAAGGACACATGAGGGCGCTAAGAGACACAAAAGGGGAATCTAAAGAGGGATGGAGGACATCAGGAGACACATGGGGAAAGACGCAGACACAGACCATGACATTAACATAATAAATGTTAATAACTTCTCACTTAAAGGTGGAATATGGAACATTTTAATGAAAAGCTATACATTTTTTAAAATAATACCTCCACGGGGTGTTTAGAGGTGTGCAGAATACATGTACAGTATATCCTTTAAAAACTATATTTAAAAAAAATCAAAAAACTTTGTCAGTGGGCACGTCACTGAGTTTTTGTTAACTTCTATCAACCACTAGACAGCACTGTTGTGCTAAAAAGGCAAATGTGTAAAATGGCAGACCTGACAAGTCAAGCAACTGATTCAGAGCCCACAAGATGTTCTAACAGTAAATACTGTTGTAAAATAAAATTATTCGTATACATTAGTTCCTATCCTTTACGATGTGTCTCTGAACATGGTGCTAGAAAGTGTCAGCAGTGAACCAACATCCCAACGGCTTGAAAATTAGTTCTGTTGTTGCAATACCACCTCTGAACTCTAGAGTTCACCAGAGTGTCCGTGTTCCATATTCAACCTTTAAGCCTGAAATTTAAACAGAACTTTATGCTTATTCTCTATTGAAATTGATGACATAGGGGTGATATGGGTGCTATCCATTTGTTCCTCAGTCCTCATTGACAAGAAAGATGGTGTTGCCTCTGTCGCACAACGTCATGCTCCAAAGCCATATATAAAAAAGTAAAAGCTGTAGCAAACAAAACAACCACAAACTTTTCTTCAAACCCTCTTTTTCAATCCAGGCTTCCAACAACATTCAAAAGTCCATCTAATCTAAACTTCTCCATCTATCCCTCTTCTCTACCCACTCTGTGCTCAAACCAATAATTACTGTAAATAAAAAGAGAAAACAACCAACTTACTAGTGAGGCCACTTGACATTTGGTACTGACATTTGAGCCTTGTGGCTTTAGTTTGGGAGCATAACAACATATCACTGCCACACCACCAATGTCAGACTGTCCAAAGAAACAGCTCATAAGAAGAAGAGAGAAGGGGAAAACCTCTCCTTTCACCTCTTATCTTTCTGCAGATTACACCCTTGCTATTACACTAAGCTAATAGCGCATGTAGATACTTTATGAATGAATTTGCTAAATGCACCAAACACTTAAGAAGAGGGGATTTAGCAAAAAGCATGTTGGAGAGAAAGAAGGAGGGGGTTTTGAGAAATAGGAAATACTTAAGGATATGCAAATACGCCAGCAAAAGAAAGGAATAACCGTTTCAACAGATTTGAGTAGTGGCTGCAAACAAAGGAAATCTTCTCTATTTCCCCGGATGCTAGTTGTCAATCACTGTATGTGTTGGAGAGAAGGTGTGGGAAGCAACTCGGATTAGGGCGACTAGGAGGATGTGACAATGTGTAAAATGAAAAGGGAAGGACAATACAGAAGTTTAATTTATTACAGAGTGGTTAGGACTATCAGTATGCACTTTTTTCTGAGCCCAGAGAGTGACTAAATATCTGAGTGAGTGTGTGTGCACGCGTGTGTGTGGAGCGGACACAGAAAAACGATAGAAGAATGAGCTGACTGTAAGAATGGAGAGGTGATGGCTGTATGCTGCCCCCTAGCTGCATCTGTCTAAAACAACTGCAAGGCCAAGGGTAGCAAAGGCTTAA